CCAGCCTTAATACTTAATTTAAACTGCAAGTTAACATGCCAGAATGTCTCGGGAGCTGTTCAGGAAAGTGTGTGTGTTGAGGGGTAAGCAGAGGGGGGTGCTACAGACTTCCTTCCTTGGCTCTTTCTCCGCTCTGACCTCCATCTTCAAATGAAGGAAGTGATTAAAGACCACCCATCGTATACCTTCATCCTTCAGAATCAGTTTCCTGGAGGTAAAAACGTACGATTGCACACCAGAACCTAACTCATTCATATGTGCTTCTCACATATATGACTCTTAATATAACTGGAAGTCTGTGGAAATCCTGAAACACTTGCCAGCAGTTTCAATAGGAATTTATTTATAGCAAAATTTATTGTAAAGCTAAAAGGGAGTTACTTACAGAAGTATTTATGTTTGTAGACAACTGTTGCTTCCGTTGCTGAATACCTAAGAAATAAATGGATCTTGGAGTATAGAGCTCACATATTGTTTCCTAAGCATTTATTACTTGTTTACTTCTGCTAGGTTTTTGTATTGATATGTTTCTTCAGTTTTTGCAGAAATTTATTGAACTCTTTGAAATTGAGATTACTTTGAAAGAAATCGGTGCTTTTTCAGTTATTATTTAAAGGACTATGTAAATGAGCATTTAATAAAATGGAGAAGTATAAAATCTTGTTTATAGGTATATTTGGAACTGCACACTTCAAACAGTATAATACAAATGAACTCAGGCAATTAGTTTTTTGTTGTTCTCTCCTTTTCAAAATGCTCTAGAAGCCCAACGAGGATGCTACAAAAAAATTCCTGAAGACCCTGGCCTGTGACTAGGGCCCATCAAATAACAACTGTAGAATCCACTGCTCTGTTGAAAGCTCTTGTGATTGAAATGTTTTAACATCCTGATTCCTTTAAACTCTTTCAAACTGAACATAGTGGTGGTCATGTCTTGTCAGTTGCTTTTAAGAGGGATTAGTATATTTTGTGGTTACGTCACTCTTCCTTTACTTAAATGGTAATATTTATAGTGATGTAAGAGGCACAGCTGGGATGTATAAGTTTACTCTCTGCTCTTTCCTTCTGTTGTAAAGATATATATGGCTTCTCTTTTCAGTTGTGTAGTTATCATTCTAGAAATGTGGCTTTGGCACTACTCTTGATCTTGTATAACATGGTTCAAATTCAAAGAAACACTTAGCATCCTTTGGGAAAGACGTGCCAGAGCATACTAAGTGGAGTATAGCTTGGTGGGCTACCATGACTTGAGCTGCTGTTGCCGAACTGAATCCATGCTAGTACTGTCACGTCAATGAAATGAAAATCTGAAAACATCTGAAGTACGAAGCAGGTTGTAAGAATGACCTTTGTGGCTAGAAACTACCTGTGAAAACGTTCTCTCTTCCGAGTGTCTGAACTATCTCATCTTAGTGCGTGTGTGTCATAGTGAGAGGTTTGTGTCCTTGTCCAGGATCGGCTTCTGGGCCAGATACTTACCTCTTGACCAAGACTTGTGTGCAGGTCAGCAGTTCCTCCATGACGTAGTCATCACCCCTTCTTTCTCTGTACACCTCAGAATGGGATTGCTTTTTAGCAGGATTATTGCAGATGTCGGGTTTCAGCTGACATCTTGAATTATTCCAGCATGGTGATTGGGAGCTGTAGACCCTGCATTTCCCTCTCCTCCCCTCACCCTCACCTCCTAAAATAGACAAGCTATGCTGTCACTGTTAATTCAGCATTTTGTACCATTTACTACCATTAACTTGTTGCATGAATGTCATTTATGGGAAAACACCGTTAAACTTAAATATTTTGCTGAGTAGGAATGAGCTTACATTTGTATTTAGGTGACTTACTGGACCCAGCATCCTTTCTGATCCCTGTGGAAGGCTGAGAGGGTAACTGCTATGACAGATCTCTTAAGAATCTCTTATGTGCTTTTATCACTATACAGTATGCAATACTTAAAATATTAACTTGCCTTTGAACTTGCAGAGGTTTTTATTGAATGAGTTTGGCAGCATGTATAATTAATGCTTACTGAGTAAGTTTTTTAAAAGTTTAAAAACTTTTAAGTTTAAAAGAAATCTAGATTTTTCTCCATACAGCTGACAGGATGCGTACGCAGTGCAGTTCGGCACTGTATTTTCAGGCACAAGCAGGAAGAAACAAAGTATTAATGTTGACAGTTTAAAAAAAAAAAAATTCCTTCCAAACTTTCTCATGCCCTGATGAGAACGGGTTGAATGTACTTGTTGCCTTCCGGGAGAACTCGTGTCATTTCCTCAAATGGGTGAAAAACCATTGCATTTTAACCCGCCGCTGACCATGGAAGCAGTTTGCATATCTCTGTCCTTAAGGGAGATCGGCTCCCTGTGATCTTTAGTCATCTGATATAATTTTAGGCAAGAATCATTTTAAAAGTCTGATGCAAGAAATATACTCTGGCCTTGCCCAGCAGCTATTCTGATTTGTTCCCATATAAAATACCATTACGACGCATTTAATGCATACTAGTTGTATGAAGACTTCAGATTCCTCCTTGTATTTTCATTGTACAGTGATTATAAAACAGATTAAGGTTGCTTTGTTGTGGGGAATGTTTTTGGATCCTTTATTTACAGGCCCGTATTATTTGATCACCTCTCTTAGAATCCCTCTAACAAAGTCGGTCACTGGAGACTTTAGCTTTAAAAGATAGCTTTAAAGGCTAACCACTACTTATACCCTAAAGGTCAAAAAAATTTTTTTTTTTCAGTTCTTCATGGAAGGCTTTTTAAAGAACTAACACAGACTGATAGAATTGCTGTGCTTACTGCTTACTTAGCATTTCTCTTCAGAGCTCTCCTAATTTTACTCAGTTTCTTAGCAAAAAGATGGACCCAGTGCTGCTCAACAATACCAAGCTGGGTGGAGTGGCCGACACGCCAGCTGGCTGTGCTGCCATTCAAAGGGACCTTGTCATGTTGGAGAGTTGGGCAGAGAGGAACCTCACGAGGTTCAACAAGGATGAGTGCAGGGCCCTGCACCTGGGGAGGAATGTGCCAGATACCTCATGGGATGAAACTTTGGGGAAAGGAGGGGTGCTGTCATGCTTGAAAGTTCAGTCTCCCCTTAGCTTCGTGCTTGTTTGCTATGGCACTGCTATGTGCAGCTGAGGGAGGGCGCAGCCTGTGACCAGGCTGGTTGGTTCCTTTTGTTGCAGCCTAGGGAAGGCCCTTAAGCAAGAGCAAAAAGAATGAGGCTTCCATTTCAAATTCTGGAGAACGGGAAAATCGAAAGGTATTTAAATAAGGCCTGGAGGAGTGCTTATTTACCAGAAGTCAGGGGAAAATTTTATATCCTTTTGTAATTTGCTGTAATTGAAAGGATGTATATTTATTTTAAGTCAGCAAAAAAAAAAAAATCCCTGCTGTTAATGATGGAAGACTCCTGCCCACCCCACTCCCGTTCTTCCTTCTCCCAAGCATGAAGTGCTGAAGTTTCCACTTTAAACTTGGGTGGCTCATTCATATTTCAGCTAATTGTAATATGGTATCCTGTTTCTCTCCTCCGTTAGCCTTTTTAGCACCAAGGCTAAAAAGGAGGAGGGGAGATATAAAATGTTTCCGAAAATTACAGGAAATGTCTGCTCCTTTAGCAGTGTTGCCAGGGAATTTCCAAATGTGCTTACTGCTTATGGCTGAATTTGTAGCAGCTCAGTCTTCGATAGCGAGTGGATCTTGCTCAAAAAATGAAATCTTTTTCCAGTAAAATACGTTGAAATGAAATAGGTGTTTTTTTTATCTTGTCTGATCTTCGGAATGAGTTCCCCCTAATGGCAAAATGGGGACTTGGGCAAAATGGCTGTGGGCCCCACTCCGTGTGTCCATCTCAGTGAGTGCAGACTGGGTAGAAAACCCCTCAGTTATATACCTGAACCTCTCTAGCCAAGTGTTGGGCTGCTTATGTTTGCAAGGATTTTAAAGTTGTTACGCAAAGACAGCAAAGTAATTCTCTTTTTTTTTTTCTTTTTTTTTTCTTTTTTGTTTCCCCCCGTTGTGAGATGAGGTCAGTTTTGAGCCTGTTCACTGGCTTCTATGCTACGCTCTGCCCTCCTCGGAGCGGCTCTTCCCACTTTGATGCCCTCGGCCTTGCCTGGGTTGCGTCATGTGGGCCTGGCCCGGCTCGGCGGTGACGGTGACTTGTGTTACAGTGACTAAGCAGGGTTGTCATCTCTTGATAGTGATGACTTGAATCTTGCTTAACTGCCCAGGGAGCAGCTTGGAATTGACACTAATGTGCTTGTTTTTACTTCCTTGTATGAAAATAATAATTTAGTCTGTTCATGCGGCAACGTAGTGCTTTGGGTAGGGACTGTAGAGGTATGACTACATGCAGTGATTCGTAATGTGCGATTCCAGTATTGGCTAAGGTTTATTTTCAGTCTGGGCGAATGTGGGATCAGTTACCCAAAATGTGCTGTTTCATCAGCCTTTGCCCACTTCAAATGCAGCCGTAAGTGGACTAACTTTTGGCTGACTCCCCTATCAATAGATACTCAAAAGAACGTGTGAGGTCAGGTTTGCTTAAATTCACGCATACTTCATCTGTAAATGTTAGTTAAAGATTAGCCTTCCATCAGGAGGGAGATGGGTCTCAAGGCCACTGTGCATGTGAGTGGTTTGTTTTTTCTTTTTTTCTCTTGAGTCTTCAGCTTCTTCTGTTTGTTTTTTTCTTTTTATTTTTGTCTTAAATATTTCTAAAGTTGAGTGGGAAAATACTTGCTGTATTTTTTTCTTGTCTTTTAGCAAATGGGCCTTTTTTTTTCTGACCCCTTCCACTTGATTGAATGCTGTGATTTATAAATCTTTTCTCAGATGGCTTTTCATATGTTTGGGGAAGTTTTACTCCAAATAACTACACTGAAAGCGTAAACCCCATCTTCTGGTTTTTTTTTTTTTGTTTTTTTTTTTTTTTTGACTTGTAATGTTTCTTTTCCTTTTTTGTTTTTCTTTTTTTCTCCCTGTATTTAGGTATTTCCTTCTCCTGGCCTCTATATGTGGACCACACTCTTCTATTCAGCCTATTTAGAGGTTGACTTAAATGTAGGTGAGTAATTATTTTTGATATGAACCAATAATGAGTTAACATGAAAAGTACTCAGATTTTTCCATTGCTTTGATTTAGAGATCATATGGAGAGAATGATCTTTAAAAATCCATTGCAGCTCTTCATGGTTCCCAGTGTTCCCAGCACTAGGAAACTGCAATTTTTTTTTTCCTTTTTTTTTTTCAAATGGATTAGGTAAGCATTCATTATACATGTCACATAGAGTGATATACTGAGAATCTATAATAAAAAATAATACTTTCAAATGTAAATTCTTGTACATTGGGTGGAGAAGGGAGTCCCAGAATAATCTGTGTGGGAGCTATTATAGAGTGATGTAATGTATCAACAGCATATTCTAAAACTTCCCATGAGCTCACATTGTAGCAATCAGGTTTGTTTGCTATAATACATAATTAACCTTTATTATTCCACAGTGAGTGTCAAACAGGTTGGCTTCTTGGAAAGTGCAAGTGAGGATGACCTGTCTCATTGCTTGGAGTTAGTAATGGTGCACAAGCGAGATTTGCAAGACCATTGAACACAGAGGGGTATATTGAGTAGGACACAATGTCTTTTGGGCAGGAGATTAGGTTATCTGGTATGTGATCAGATTATCTGTTTTTTCTGGTATCATTATTTGTTACAGTAAACGGTATCAGACTGTTGTCTAGAAGGAAACTATCAATTTTTGCCTATCCCAGCTATCTGTGTGGTGATCAAATGCATGGTGAGAAATAGATGTAGAAGTAAATAAAGTGCTTAATCTAAACCAGAGCTGTATTTCTGCAGTTTGTTTGTTGAAGACTGATCAGATTTTTTTTTTTTTCTGACCTTATCCCTGCATGTCATAGTTCTCTTAGTGTCTTGGACTTTTCTTTAGAATAAGTAATCAAAATTAAGAAGTAATTAGTCAAGCAGAATGAAGTACAGCAGGTTGCTGAACGGTAGACTCTGCCTCATTTCCTCCACTCTGTCCTCCGATAGATTACACTTGCCTTTATAATGAACGTACAATGTCTAATCTGAAATGTATGAAACTTAGTTTTGCAGAGCAGAGAAAACAACACTGCTCTGTTCTGACTGCATATGTAGGTCTAGAATGCAGATACACTGAAAACAGGACAGGAAGGAGCAGGCAGGCAGTGTGGTCATACAGAAAAGCACAGGAGAGCCAGGGGAGGAGGAGGGAAGTCTGCTCTGCCACCCTCTACCTGACTTGAGGAAATGATGTCCTTGTGAGAATGATGACACTACATGAGTCACTGGAAAAGCCAGGAAACACCCTCCCTTTCCTAGTCTAAAGAAAATGAACCTGAGTCTTGTATCATCTTATGTACAAATGTACATCTTATGTACAAATACCTGAGGGGAGAATATAGGGAGGATGGGCCCAAACTTTTTCTCAGTGGTGGGCAGTGACAGGACAAGGGATAATGCATATAAATTTACAAAAAAAAGACAACAGAGGCAGTTCCATCTCCATGTGAGGAAGAACTTCTTCACTGTAAGAGTGACAGGGCCCTGGAACAGGCTGCTCAGGGAGGCTGTGGAGTCTCCTTCTCTGGAGGTCTCCAAACCCGCCCTGTGCCCCATGCTCTGGGTGTCCCTGCTGGAGCAGGAAGGTTGGACTAGATGATCTCTAGAGGTCCCTTCCAGCCTCAACCATTCTGTGATCTTCTAAATGAGAGGCATTTGTAATTTTACCCTCTGTGGTCTGCATAGCAGCATGTAAGATCGAAGCTTCTTGTAACATGGTCAACTTTTCTTTGCAGATTTTACACTTTACTGTTTTGGCCTCTGGAATTTATTTTCTTGCTGAATCCAGGGAAAATTTTGCCTTTTCTTACTTAATACAAATTGTATTTTGCATACACTCTATAAGCATATGCTATCATTACTGAGGCAAGCTAAGGCAGGGATTAGCATTCTGTCTTCTTGATTGTCAGACAGTCTACAGTAACTTTGGATGGCTTTTATTTCAAATCTTTCTGAGGCTGCTGAAGGAACGTTTTAGGTAGGTATTGAGTGGAGTAAGGGGGCTAGTGTGGAGCATCTTACAGAGATCACAGAAAAAATTCTGGTTCCGAAGTTACGAGTTCTCATCTGTTGCAGGAGTTTGTTGGTGAGGACCACATGTAGCTATGGTGGTGGGGACTAGTGCTGATAGTGGCACAGCTACTGAACCACTGGCAGCTCCCGGCTCTGTATACCAGAGCCAAATAGTTCTTTGAAGGAGATGATGTGCCAAGTCACATGCATACTGCAGTTTAGCAGCTACAGTCTGTGTTTTGATTCAGCTCTTGGGACTGCTCTCTTTTTTTTTTTTCCTTCTTTCACTGTTGTCCACTCTATGAAACATCAAACAGATTGCACAGAGGATAGTGGTTGTCTGTATTATTTTTTATTTATTTATTTCTTGTATGTGCATGTGTTTGCCTGTTCAGCAAGTGGAAGAATGCATGATTTTAAAAACCATTTCTTTTTCAGATGTCTCTAGATGGGTGTCCAAAAGTCTCCCTTGAGGCCTTCTGATGTTCAGATGCTGTAAAATATTTCTGGCATTTTGCCATGTAGCAGGGATGGGTGTGGGAGCCTTGCTTTAAGGAACCTGACAAAGCAGCCATTAGTGACATTGTAAGGAAAATTGCTTCGTGTTTATGGCACCAAGGTTCAACTTCAAGGTTATTTTCCTACGTGAGCTAGAGATCTTTCAGAGATTGCAGCAAACCTTCTAGAAACTGCTCGTCCCATAAGCTAAGAAGAACTGGAGCATAATTCTGAGGGCTTTTAACATGTATTCCTGTCAGATTTATTTCTTCAAAAGTAACTTCTATAATATGAGCTGAAGTCTGAGAACTCTAAAATAAAGATCCTCCTATAATATAAGGGAAGAGCTTGGACTCGAGTTGGTAGAAGTAGAAATTAAGGTTGTATACAAAATGTGAATTATTTTTGAATGAGGAATCAAACAGGTATGATTTGGTACTTAGGTACCAGATTCTCCATTATGTGGTTGTCTTTTCTTTTACATCCAAGTCATTTGTGGAATGAGGCAAGGATCCTTGAGGGGAAGAAAGAATATGTAGTTCTGTGGTATCATAAATACTAAAGAATCCAGATTTGTTTGCCTGGAAGATGGCATGCAAACATTTAGTTAGATAGGGTTTTGATTGTTTTGATTCTTTAAAA